GCTGGTGTCGCGAACCGCGATATCCGCAGGGGGCACCGCTGGAATCATCTCGGGTCCTTGGGGGTGTTTATTCCGGTGTTTATTCCCGCTGATAGCCAGGAAGAGGCACAGAATTGTTAGGTCAGAGGGGACCTCGGGAGATCATCCCGTCCAACCCCCCTGCCAAGGCAGGAGCACCTGGAGCAGGTGACACAGGAACGCGTCCAGGTGGGTTTTGAATGTCTCCAGAGAAGACTCCATTACTTCCCTGGGCAGCCTGTTCCAGTGCTCTGCCACCTTCACTGTAAAGAATTTCTTCTTCATGTTGAGGTGAAACTTCTTGTGTTGTAGTTTACAGCCATTGCTCCTCATCCTGTTGCTTGGCACCACTGAAAAGAGTCCAGCATCATCCTCTTGACGCCCACCTTTGAGATATTTATATGCATTAATAAGATCCCCTCTCAATCTTCTCTTCTCTAGACCAAACAAGCCCAGCTCATGCAAGCTCCCCTCGTAAGAGAGATGCCCCAGCCCCTTATCATCTTTGTGGCTTCCACTGGACCCTGTCCAGTGGCTCCTTGTCTTTCTTGTACTGAGGAGCCCAGCCCAGAACTGGACACAGCACTTGGAATGTGGCCTCACTAGGGCTGAGTAAAGGAGGAGGATCACCTCCCTCAACTGCCATGCAGGAGCAATACTGAGGTTGCAGCCACACCCAGAGAGCTGTGATAGGTTTAGCAAAACACCCCGTGCACCATCAGTGGAAATACAAAAATAGTGCTACAGACCAGCCCTGAGTGATGCAAAGTCCCTGTTCAAGCACAGCCATGTCACAGCATCACCCAAGATAGACCAGCAGAAAGCAGGGACTGGACAGAAGAGGGTAACGGAGCAAGTGCTGAACAGAGGGGAAAAGGCTGCCAAGGAGGGAGGGAAAGAGGACAGAAAAAAACAGGCTGAGGGTAAGAAAGAGGCTCTAAAATGACACCCTGTTGCTGAAGTCTGTTGAAGCTATGCAGAAAAACCCAATCTTACAAATTCAGCTGATGCATAAAACTTTTTTTTAAATTCTCATTCTTGGGCAAAGCTTTCTTTAGGAGAATGTTCAGCTGCCTTCTGGCTCTCCATCACCTAGGGAAAAGGCAAAATTATCCTGTATTTGCCATAGAAATTCAGTAGTTCTCTCCTGCCGTGGGACCGACGAGCAGTCCCAGCAGATGGTGCTGTGATCCTTCCGATGCTCAGATTATTCCCCCTTTCTGCTGAGCAATTTAGCATCGAGTCTCCTACAGCAAGCGTGGGAAATGGCTGGCCAGGCACACAGCACCAGGGAAGCTGGAGCTGTAGGTGTACCCAGAGCTCCACTGTGCACCTTCAGAGCCATCTGTGAGAGTGTGAAGTCCCTTGGTGCTTGAGCTCGGCCTTCTCTGAAATCCTCCTCACCCCACTGCTGCCTGCCACTGGGTGTGGGTCAGCCCTGGTTTTGGCTGCCCCCAGCCCTCCCAATCTTCCTGTGGAGATCTTAGCGCTACCTTCCTCTGTGTTCCTAGGAAAAGGCAGGTCTTCCCCCAAGTTTATTGCTTAACACAAGGGTGAATCCCTGGTTGAAGGATGCCTAACCTGAACGAGATAACAAAACATCACAAATCCCTTATGTTTGCCAGAGCCTGGAGAGATTCAGCAAGACCTTAACTAGGAGCTCCAACAGCTCTCTCATGTCATAAGCTTTATACTTTCAAAAAAACCCACTGTATCTACAGCCATGAGTGCTCTCATCTCTATCTGCAACCAGGCATGAGGGTTTTGGGATAAGTGTCTGCATTTTAGGAAAACATTAAGGTGCAAAGATTTATAGGAAGGATGCTTCAGCCTGTGGCAAACTTGAGACTTCACTGCACTGCAGAACTGCATGCTACCTCTATTAGTAGACTTTATAATCTGAATTTCAACTAGTAGCTCTTCTATAGCACTCATACAGTCAGGTTCTGTGTCTCTCTACAGGGAGTCCACAGTTACAAACTCCCAGGGACTCAATAGGCATTAAACAAGATTATGTCCTCCAGTCAATAAAGCTAGAAGGAAAAAAATTAAGATTCCTTTTTCACCTGGGATATAAAGGTGAGCATGCTGACAGATACCCCAGTACCTAACAGTACAAGGGTGACAAATTCATAATAAATATTTCTTCAATATTTCATCTTTGCTGGATTTTCAACTCAGAATTAGGATGAATCTAGGGAGCAGCTCTAAGTTCCTTAGTACAGAAAAGCCAGTGTATTTTCTGGTTGTTCCTCTTGACAAAGCAGTGCCGAGTGCTTTTGGGCTATGAAGATTGGAGTGGTTTTGTACAATACCAATACACTAACTTTGCACCCAGTCCACCGTGATTATTAATAACAGGTAATGCATAACATATGTCAAAGCAAAGGCTGTCAAATCTGGCTGACAACTACTCACATCTCAATCGTATAACTTGGCAGTGTGGGCAGGTTTTTCCATAATATAAAGCAATTCCTATCAGCTGCAGATTGCACTTCACAGAAGGTTCAGTTTCAAGCAGATGCCAGACTCTCACTATTCATCTGGAGACATATACAGTACGTGAACAGAGTAAAGAACATATTTGTGATACAAAATAAATAAATAATACTTAGCACAAGAGGCAATACAGAGCTGCAGAGAGTGAGCTCACCTGTGTGTCCCATGGGATATAGTAATTGTATAGTTTCTCAAGACCCCTCAGTCCTGAGGACTGCTGCTCATCACATCCCATCTACAGCAGCCCACACAGGTTTACGTGTGTAACACCCCTTTTTGTTCCAAGAGGTAATGGATACAGTGCCAAGCAGATTGAGTGACAGGCCAGATCAAGTCCAATACCACATGTGCACTGAGGGAAGGGACTGGTGACACTGCATTCACAAATGTGTAGATGTGTATGTAAAACCTGTCTGTAAATATGAGTATGTATCTGTCACTGTGTGTGTGTATAGGGGCTTCAAAACCAACCTCAATTCTTTGCTCAGCATCACAGCTGATTAGAACAAGATACTTCAGTGAGTTACTGTTAACACAAATGTAGGTTCAGGTGCAAAACATGCAATCCTTCAGTTGCACATGGGCACACAGGGTTCTGTGCCTTCCTAACCCTTCCAGGGAAGGAGGGAGGCTGAAAACACCTTTCTATCTCTATGTTACATTATAATCAGCTTCTGTCTAGAGGAAGCCTATACTGTCTTGTCTTTGGTGCTTTAGTTTGTTTCGCATCAGTCATGTTTGTCTGGCTTTTTTTCCAGAAGGAAAATCTACATGACAACTTTGTTACAGTGCTTTATTAATTGCACTACTCACAAAGGGATGAGTAGCCCATGTTTTTTCATTAAACAGCAGCAGCCGGCACAAAGGATCTCGGTTTTCTGGGGGATTCCATTCATTTAGAAGACTCTCAAATGCAATAGCCTTCTACAGGAGAACAAACTCGTGACTGTGAGAGAGCAAAGGGCACACAACATAATATGCAGCAAAATGGCACTATCTCAGACCAATGGAGATTTTAGGAGTTGTTCCATATTTTCCTGGCCTTGCTGTACAAGGTTTGGACACTGTCTAGTTCTTACTGCCCTCAGGGTTTTCCACCCACTTTGTTGTCACTGCATTCTGTCCCTGCTTGTGAATATCTTGGGTGAAACTTTCAGGGAAAAAATCACGCAGGTTTAGCTGCACTTGACCAGCTAGAGTTTCTCTGCCACTTTCTGCTGCAATCATGTGATATCAGT